CAGTTATGGTCTCTTTGGGGTATATTCCCAGTAGTGGAATTGCTGGGTCAAATGGTATCTCTATGTGCAACTTTTGAGAAAGCACCATTACCGCCTTCCAGAGTGGTTGCCAATTCATACATATTTTAAAAGCTTTGACTAAGCATGGCATATCAGTGGCTCACATCATTGCTGGCTACACACGGAACTCTAAAGGTTAGAACAACACCTTTCTCATGTGGCAACTGGACCAGTATGGACAAACAGCTGGCCTCAGCTCATGACATCTGTGCCTGATGATCTAAAGGCTCCCTATTCCCTCCCCCAGGACTAGAGTAATGGGGACTATCCACGGTACACAGCGTGTGTGCGTGTGTGTGTGTGTGTGTGTGTGTGTGTGTGTGGTAAGTAGAAGGTCATAAAATCAATAATTTATGAAGCTGAAATAGCATCTGGAGAAGCAGCAGGTATTGCCAGTGACCCAGATTACAGTGTCCCCAGGGAGCCATCAAGAGCCATTTCACTGGAATTCCTGCTTGCTCCAGGGACATGTTCCTAATAACAAGTCAATTGTTAGTTATTTTTCAGAGAGGGAATGAATGAAATGGCATTAATGAGTTAAACATGCGGATGCTAACACTTTTGCAGCCAAGGATGTCAGGTAGCTGATGCAAATACTCAGTGGACAAGAAAACCAGGCCAAAAGAAGACGGAAGAAACTGCAAACGAGGGCAGAGGAAGCCCAGGTGCCGAGCCTCTGAAACGGGAGCTGCACCAGGGTAAGAAGCTTTAGACATGTCACGGTGACCATGTTCACTGCAGAGAAGATAAAGGGCCCACCCTGGAAGGGCACGGTGCCATGTATCACTCTCCCAACACAGACCAAGATTCCCTCCATCACCGTATTTAGACATCACAAGGACGTTCCATGGGAGCTACCTACCATTTCCATCCTCCTAAACTGAGTACTGAGGCACAGAGAAAAGAAATGATTCACCCAAATAAATGACAAAGGCTAGCTCTTAAAAGGCCTCAGGGGGTTCTATGGCTGAGTGTTCAATCTATAATGAGCTTCCTAATTATAGGACGTTCTCGTTAGCAACTTTCAATGAAGTCTCGGCTTCATTGTGCAGTCAACCCAGTTAAAAACTAGCATATGCCAGTGCTGGGTCGGGGAAAGGAGGGGTCACACCAGGTCCCTTGAGTGTCCAAGGTCTGAGCAGGGCAGAGACAGTTACGTTGGGCACACAGTTAGCTACAAAACACACACAAAAAAACCCACAGGGAGGCAGGCACCACGCTGTCCCAGGTGGGCACTGTCCAGTGAGCCCTGCTCCAGAAACAGTCACATGCTTGGGGTGGCCCCAGAGGCCTTGAGGGGCTCAGACACCTTCCAGCCACAACTGACTGGGCGGAGGATGGACCTTTGGGTCAGAGCGTAGCCAATTGTGTTCTCTCACACGTGGGGATCTGAACCCAGCTAGAGAAATGGGAGAGGCAACTGGGAGTTGCCAAGACTGAAGTATATTAGTGGCAACGGGATCTCTGGGGCTGCCCACATGTGAGCAGCTCAGAGGCCCTGGGTCCACTCTTGCCTGGGCTTTTCAAAGGGCTGATGCCTAGCCATGTGCAGGGATTTGTTAAGACAGAGGAAAATGACTGTACTTGCTAAGTCCTTTCATCCAGCTGCTGCCCTCCTGCCTCGCCTGTGACCTCAGGTCCCCACAGTCCAGAAACAGAAGGACTAATGCCCAGCACAGCACATGGTTTCCAGCCTAGCTCCAGCCCTAAAACCAGTTAAACCAAAACCAGCTGCGTGCAGCTAAGTCAGCCCCAGTCCATGCATGTTCAAACAGCACTGTGATCCAGAACAATCTGAAGAAGTCATTTTTCAGAAGCAGATCACTAGGCGGTTTTTTGAGGTAGCTCTGGGTGGAGCTGGGCCTCCAATTTTGCAGTCAGCAGCCATGTATGTTCAACATGTACACTATCCAGGGCCCTCCAGGGCCAGTTAAGGGCTGGTGATGAAAGATTTTTTTTAAATTCTATTTTATTAATTTTAATGAACATTTACAGAGATTTTGGATTTCCATTCATTCATTGTTGCATTTTTCTCCCTGCCCACCCCTCTCCTGCCAGTTCAGTTCACTCTTCTCTTTGAAAAGTAAAAGAAAAATTCCTTCATTGGTATACAATCATCAGCCCCCATCCCAGTACACTCCACTATGCAGCCTTCATTCTGGACTCCTGTCATGACCATAATACCCAATCATATATCGCTTTTAAACTATTCTCTCCCTCATCTGTTTCAATGCAGTATAAGTAATTTATCCTCAAACTCACCCTGTTTACTCGGAGACCCTTATTATGCATCTTTTCTTTTAGGGTGAGTGAAGGAACGCTGACGCCTGCCACTCACACTCAGAAAACCACACTCACATCCGAAGGGAAATCCTAGAGCAGGAAGCACTAGGAAAGCCGGGAATGAGGGTGAAGTAAGAGGCACCGGCCAGGGGGAGACAGTGGGGACAGGGCACGCAAACAGCAGATGCAAAGGCACAAGAGGGTGAGGGACTGGCTGGAGGTGGGATACGCAGGAGCAGAGGGTTCAGGTAGAAAGACTCGCACAAATGGCAAGAGGGTAGGTAGAGGCTGGCCTCAAAGCAAACATGCGCCTACTGGGCCCCTCTAACCTGGGCTGCACTTGACCTACAATGTTCTTCTCCCAGCTCATGGGCCACTAGCCTCTGCATCCATGTCTGTTCTCCATAGGAGAGAAGATGCAAGCCTTCTCAGTAGTAAATGGGTAAGTGTATAAAGTTCTACCAAAGCCCAACCCACCACTGTTTCCTCGATTCTGACTTACGGTGACCTCAGAGGACAGAGCAGACCTGACCTGGAGGCCTCCTGGGGCTGTGAATCTTTATGGAAGGAGACTGCCAGACAGTTCTCGTAGGTGGTTCAAATCCACCAGCTGCTCCGTGTGAGGATTGATGAATTCTTCTCTACGATCTACTGACTCTGAAAACCCGCTGGAGGGTCAGTTCCAACTTGACCGTACACAACACCACAGCTGACCTTTCTGTTAGTGGTCCAATGCTTAATGCATGCACCACAAGAGCCTATGAGCAGGCAGCTTTTCACTACATATATATATAAAATTTTTTTTTCTATAACATGGTTCTCTTACACTTCCCCAGGACACTGGACAATGACAAGGTTTGAAGTGCAAAGAAGCAATGTGAAATCCTGGGGTCTTGGTTCAGTCTGCTTGTAAGGGAATGAATGGCCCTGCTTTGCGGCTGCTCCTGGCTCTGCCAAGTGGGCCAGGCTAGGAGACAAGAGGTCATGGTCCAGTCCACTTGCAGGGAAGAGCCCTGTTTTGTGGCTGCCCCTGCCAGGCTCTTTCCAGTGAGCAAAACACGCTCCAAAAGCATTCCAGCAAAAGAACTCCATCCCTATGGAAAGCCTCTCCTTCTCCTGACCTCAAGCAGGAAGCCCTGGCAGGGGTGATTTGCACCTGCACACACTGGTCTCTCATTTTCCTGCCAACTGTTCCTCTAATTTTAGGGCCATGCAACTTCCATACACACACTTTCTATTCTCTGTTTAATTACCATTCACCCCAAGAGCACTTAGTCAAGAACTGGCTGTCTACGCCTGTGAAAAATAAAAGGCTGGAGAGACGTCTTACATTTATACGACTTTGCAATCAATAACGTATACATTTCCCCGTATCGTCTCTCTTACTGTCTGCCTGGTGTGGTTAAGTAAACAACGAGAAACAAATCCTCATTTGAGAAAACAGGAGACTGAAGCTTAGAGATCAGGGCCAGGCCTACCGCCCTGGATGCAAGAGCTGAGGACCGAGGTGAGGGACCCTGAGTCCAGTGTTCACTGCCCTAAGAACCAGCTAAAGACCAGGAGGTGGGTTAATGTGTCTCACAGAGACCTGGGCTCAACTCCCGGCCTCTCTGCTAGGCTGCCTTTAATGACTTCTCTCCTCTGGGCCTCTATCTACTCAACAGTACTCCAAGTATACTCATGATACATAGTCTTGAAGGTGGGGCGTCTGGCAAACACCAAGTGCTCAACAAATACAAGCCACTTTGCTTGTGCCCTGGAATAATGCTGCCATCATTCTGATGCATAACGGAGGTAACTAAAACCCGTGAGAAAGCCAGCTAGGGGTCAGTTCCAACTCGATGCCACAAGACAACGGCCACAGAGAAGAGACTCCTGCAGATTACTTTTAGGGGGGAAAAGTGCAGCTTACCTGTTGGCCACCAGAGTGCAGTCGATTTCAGGGCGCTTGGTCTTGGGAATGGCATACAGCGGGTACCTGTCCCCGTGGCGGATGAACACGTGCACAGAGACTAGTTTAAAGTGATGCGGGGCATGACCTGCAAGTGGGAAACACGTGGCCAATCAGTCGCAGCTCACACAGGATGTATCAACCTTTTGGGGGCACAGAGCATGGTGCCACCCAGCTGTGTCCAGGATGGGATTCAGAGGAGGTAACGGGGGTGAGGGGGTGCCTGAGGGGACATGGCTCCCCTCTGCACACATTGGTCAACATGAATCTGAACAGACTTGGTGACCACTGACTATCATTAACCACTCACGACTGAGCTCTGGTTGGTGTAGAGAACTGTGCTGCTGGCCTAAAGGCCACCTCTCTCCAGCAGTTCGAATCCACCAGTGGCTCCGTGGGAGAAAGATGAGCAAGCTCTTCCCCCTGAATTTTTGCCTGCTGGAGGGTCATCTATGCGTTAATGCAGGAAAGAAAAAGCATTTTTGTTGAGTTCCTCTGAGCACTCATTCTCCCAGTCGTCCTGTGGCTAGTTAGGTACTACTGCTGTGTGTACTGTACAGAGGAAACTGACCCCAAGCTGTCAGAGACAGTAAATGGCACTGCAAGAGGCCCAGGTACTTGTACAAGGTGACAAAGCCTGGGATTAACTTAGTGACAAAGGCAACATTGGAGTCCGGGTCATGTCACTCCTTATCATCTGTGCCACTTGAGAAGAGCGAGGCACAGAGGGGCGCCCAGCCCAGCCCCACATCACCGACTGCAGCGTACAGAGCTGGGGGGCACAGCCAGGCCTACCTTCCATGCTGCGCTCGGCCACGCTCGGAATGTTGCAATACAGGAGAGCTTCGTAGACGGGGTCCATCACGGGGGGCTCTGTCACCGGGTCCGGCATGATTCTCTTTCGACTCTTGCTACCCACTCCATTCTTAGCTGACACGGGGATCAGGTGAACTGTGGAGAGGAAACCCACAAATCAATGAAGTCAGTGGGGTGGGCCCAAGCGGTGCTGCTTCCCACTCCACTTCTCTCCCTTGGAAGAGGGACGAGCTTCAGGGGAGAGGTGGTCATGAAGGGCGCATGCCCTCTGTAACTGATGACTAACTTCAGTGTTGGAGTCCCTGAGTTAGGTTTGAACCCAGGGTGCCAGGGAGGAGAGGCTTAGTGATCTGCTTCTGTAAAGGGAAGTTACAGCCAGGGAACCCCTGATGGCCTCGGGTCTGCTTTGTAACTCACGGGCCGCTCTGAGTGGGACCCAACCTGATGGCAGTGCACTTGGCTTTGTTCACAACCTTTTTATTAATTTTTTTTTAATTATTTTACCCTCTCCCACCTCTCTTGGATCTTTATACTCATTCTACAATAATGGTTTTATACAGTATTAATCCTTGTGAGACTGGGAGAGGGTGGAAGCAGAGGGATGAGGATGTGCAGGGGGAGGAGATTAGTCATGGGGTTGTGCAATTTGATGGGTGGGGGAGGGAGGGATTGAAAGAATCTGTTCTGGAAAACAATGTATTCGAATGGTAAATAAACTAGTAGAAAATGAAAAAAACCAAAAAAATTATTTTATATTGATTTGCTTACAAAGTTCGTCTACATTGTGTTTCACACTATTCACTTACTTTGTGTTTCACACAATTATTCCCATGCATTTGTTGTTGTTATGTGCCGTCGAGTTGCAAAACTCATAGTGACCCTGTGCACAACAGCCCTGAAACCTGCTCTATCCTGTGCCAATTTGACTGTTTCCGACACACCCACCCTCATGAGTGAATCAATCACTAATAATCACTACCCAGTCACTGAATCAATCCATCTCATCGAGGGTCTTCCTCTCCTGCACCATCCCTCCACCCTTCCAAGCATGACATCCCTCTGCAAGGACTGGTCCGTCCTTGCAACATGTCCAAAGTATGTCACATGGAGCCTCAGAATCCTTGCCTCCAAGGAGCAGCCTGGCTTCACCCTCTCTAGATGAACCTGTTTGTTTTCTGCCAGTCCATGGTATGTATATTCAACACTCTTTTCCAGCATTATGCTTTATAAAATTAATCACCATTGGACTAGGCCCATCATGGCCCTGACTTTCCAGGTTCCCATCAGATACTTCTCATTTCCTTTACCCTCCACCAACCAAATTGTGCAACCCTGTGATTTCGCCCCTGCCCATCCTCACTCCTCGGCTCCCTCCCCTTATCCCCTTGGGACCCTAATTATCCTTCTATTGATTTCGCCCCAGCCCATCCTCACTCCTCGGCTCCCTCCCCTTAATCCCCTTGGGCCCCTAATTATCCTTCAATTTTTATAATAATGGTTTTGTACTTGTCCTTATGAGACTGAGTTAGTTCACTCAGTATAATGCTCTCCAGTCTCTCCCAAGTTACACAGTATTTTTGGAAATGGTTGCTCCTGAGTGCTGCATAGTATTCCACTGTGTGAATGTACCACAGTTTCTCAATCCATTCATTTGCAGTTGGACATTTGGGCTGTTTATATGTTCTTGTGATGGTGAATAATGCTGCTATGAACATTGATATACAAATCTCCATTTGTTTCTCAGTTCTACTATCCTTGGGGTAGTGGAATAGCAGGGGTATTCGGAGTTTCTATGTTCAGGAAATGCCAAACTGCCTTCCAGAGTGGTTGTACCCACAACCTTGCCTTGAGTGCTACTGACTGCTGCTTCTCTCCTGACATCATTCCCCGTCTTGGTTTGAATTATGTCCCTTGCAAAATACACATGTATAAAGATGTAAAAGCTACATAAAAATCCCCATAATTTACAGCTGCGGGAGGATGAAGGGTGGACTGCAGGCTCCTTAATTCTATCAGAGCCCCAGTGAGATTTAGAGGGTTTCCCCTAGGGTGTGGCCTTTGATACCTTTTATCTCACTGGAGACAAAAAGGGAGTGAAATGAGCAGAGATTATCTCTTAGCAGCCACAAGAAATAACTGCCAGCAGTCTTTTGGAGCCAGGACTCTGTGTGATAACATTTATTCAGGATCTCAAATAGGCAAGCTTCTAAAATGATCGATGTTGTTGGGAAGGAATACATTCCTATCAACAATCAACCACAGAACATTGAAAAGGCAGCCTTTACCTAAAGATATTGTTGTTGTTATGTGCCATTCTTTCAAATCATTCTTTAGGAAAAAGGAGTCGCTTGCCACTCATTGCCTCTGACACACCCATCCCGATTACCCCAGTCACCAAATCAATCCACCTCATAGAGGGCCTCAACACTCTTGGCACCAGCAGCCAGGAAATTAAAAGACGTATTGCGATGGGAAAGTCTGCTGTTAGGGACCTCTCTAAAGTATTCAAGAGCAATGGTGTCTCTCTGGAGACTAAGGTGCATCTGATACAGGCCATGGTCTCTGCAATCACTTGTTATGCATCAGAGAGTTGGACAATGACTAAGGAGGACAGAAGGAGAATTGATGCCTTTGAGCTGTGGTACTGGAGAAGAGTATTGAGGGTACCATGACTCCTTGGAGGCAAGGATTCTGACATACTTTGGACATGTTGCAAGAAGGGACCGATCCTTGGAGGGGGACATCATGCTTGGTAGGGTGGAGGGACAGCACAGGAGGGGAACACTCTATAGAAGGTGGATTGATTCAGTGACTGGGGTAATTAGGATAGAAGTGTCAAAGACAGTGCGACTGGCACAGGATAGAGCAGAGTTTAGGGCTGTTGTACATAGGATCGCTATGAATCGCAAGCGACTCGATGGTACATAACAACAACAACAACAATGAACACTAAACACAGAGGACAGGTATAGTAGCGCAGTGGTAGAGTCCAGATTGGAAGTCAGTTGAAATGAGGACTGTTGGGAAGGGTGGAGGATTGGCAAGGGAGAGAAAGACCCTCGCCCATGTGGACTCACAAGAGTGACTGCTGCAATGGGCTTTTGTGTGTCAGGAAGTGAACAGACCAGGGTTCTGATCGTTTGTTCATAGTGTCGCTATGAGTTGTGCTTGACTCAATGGCACCTACCAACACCACCACCACAGATATAATTACAAAGTTTATCATTTTAGCGGGTTTACAAATCACAGTAACATGCATATGTAAATGTAAACAATCACTACAAAAGGACCAGCTAGTGTTTGGAATCAACTTAAATTCTGTAATCCACCAATTCATCTATATATTTAAAGCATATAGAATTCTCCAATATATTTAAAGCATATTCTTCTAAATATTTAAATCATTCTTTAGGAAAAAGGAGAATAAACAAAGATAAAAGAAAAGCAGTACCTTCAAAGAAAAATATTTGTAATGCATCAAATAATGAATATAAAAATATGTAAGTACTACAACAATAATATGTAAGTACTACAACAATAATAAGTGAAGCAGACTAAGACAAAAATAAACCCCAGCGGTCAATACACATGAACACTTGCTCAGCTTTGCTCCTAATTAAGGAAATACAGAATAAAACCACAACGGGACATCATCCTCCTCTACCAGAGTGGAAAAACAGGTTCTAGTAATCTATCTGGTAAGATCAGAAGAAACACAGTAACTTTCATACACTTATAGGAGGAAGCAGAACTTGGAATGATTTTTCAAGGAGCATTTGGCTGGAACTACCAACTTTTTTTTTTTGTGACAGGATTTCAACTTTCTTAAAAAACAAAGAAACCCCTCCAGACCTACTGAACTGGTTAGAGGTGCTCTGACAGCACAGTTTGTAACAGGCTGAACTGCTAATTCAAAGGGTAGGTACCTCCTATGGTTCAAGTTCCCCAGTGAGTCCTCTCGACAAAGATGGGCAGTCTCCTCCCATCGCGACTGACAGCTTTAGAAAAATGATGGAGGGAAGTGAGCGAGTGACTGGTTGAGGCTGGAGGATCCCCACAGACCAGTGCCCTGACATGGTCTTCAGACTTCAAACTCAAACAACTCTTGAGGTCACAAAATAACAAGCTGGCTCAAAAAAACAAATCAACAAATGGACAGAGAAGCTCTGGTATATTTACACAATGGAATACTATGCAGCATTGAAAAACAAGAAACTTATGAAATATTATGCAAAATGGGTGACCCTGGAGGACATCATACTGAATGAAATATCTCAGTCACAAAAGGACAAATACTGCATAGAGCCACTGTTCTAAAATGGGACTGACATCAGGGTTGAGGGAAGACAGAAAAGGAGGGGAGGAATGATGAGGGAGAGATCTGTTTAAAAGGGATATATGACTAGGTATTCCTGTCATGACAGGAGTCAAGGATGAAGGCTGCATAGTGGAGTGGACTTGGGGAGAGGGATTGTATAACAATGAAAGAGTTTTTCTTTTTCTTCTCAAAGAGAAGAGTGATTTGAGGGGGAGAAGGTGGACAGGGAGAAAAAGTACAACAATGAATGAATGGAAATCCTAAGTCTCTGTAAACTTTCATTAAAATTAATAAATAATTTTTTTAAAAAAACCCATACACAAAAATAGTGAATTTCACACATAAGGGAGCTCCAGTGGCCTAGTGGTAAAAAGTTGTGCTGGCAACACAAAATTAAGCAGTTCAAATCCACCAGCTGCTCCTTGGGAGAAGGATGGGCAATCTCCTCCTGTGTAATCACAGGATTAACTGTCTCTGTAAACTTGCTAGAGGGTCAGCTAGGGGTCAGTTCTGACTCAACGGCACACAACAACAGTAATCACACGTAAGTACGGTGTCCCCTTTAAAAAAAAAGTTGCCCATATAACCCAATGGTCAACACTTACTGCACAACTAAGACAAGATGGTAATGGGGGCGTGGAAAAAGAAACCAGCAGCACTGGAATAACTGGGATGGAAATAATGAAAACGTGCAGCCACTGTGAAGAATGTCACTGAACAACAGGTTCAGAAGATGCTGAACCTTGATGGAAACGCAATAAAAATTTTTTATGGAAAAAGATGATATATGTTTTATTCCTTCGTCTCATTATGTGAG